GTTTTCAAAAAATATGTTTGCAAATTGCACCTGTATCTAAAAACTGATGAAAACTCAACCAACAGACTTTATATATTTGATGAAAAAAAAAATAGCTTTCCAAATGTAAAAACTTACAAATCCTCCATAAACATAGCCCACAGCAATTCCAGTTGGTATACACATGTAAAACATTGCAAGCCATGCTGTTTTCTGGACCCAAAATTAACAAATATTCAGCATAATTATGAAAATAATCGAGAAGATATATTAAGTTTTGCCTTCCTGGGAAACATTAAATTTTCTGATCATAAAAAATAATAGAGAGGGGATAAACAGGAGGGAAGCCAAACCTGGGGTGCAGGAGCATGGTCATCAATGAACGGCGCTGCAAGACTTATGAAAGATGCCTCACCAACTCCAACCAGCCTAGAATGGTAAAGCCCAATTATTAACTCACAATCGAGTACAGAAGATGATAATAGTGAAGACAACAGAACGAAGACAAAATTCTAAAAGTGGAGAATACCAGAAAGATTGTTACACTCACATACGACATATTGCAATGGTCCAAAAATCAATTGAACTACCACACCCAGCTGTGGCAAATGTCCAAACAGATAATCCAACTCCAATCAGCCTAAAAGGATTGTGGCTGCAAAAGCAACAATGCATATGAACTTATAAATCAAATCGGGCAGAGATTATCACAATTGAAGTGATGACCAAGTTGGTAACTCATGCATTACTGCAAGTGTTCACCTCTTTGCCAAGGACGCAAAGATGGGTGACGCCATAAGAAGACCAACCATAAATGCAGATGAAAGAACACCATCTTGAAAATTGCTCAATTTAAAATCTCCCCTGTAAGAAAATACTATCGTAAGCCAAATACAGCCGATAAATGTGAGGAATTGTGACTGTCTGTCAATTACAGCCAATAAATGTGAAAGCATATGCAATTAGATAACTACCAGCATGAACCCTAAAAAATTCATGGGTCTTAAACACCGATCATAAATGAATTTAGCTTCTTGATAAATAAATACTATATAATTGCATATCACACACCATAGGCACCAGATACACGGTAGCATGCAAGATCAATATTAAACCAATTAAGGCCCCAAAACTCATAAAACAATCATTAAAATTCTTACTGAATTCCGCTACCCGCGCTGCAAATTCCGCTATCATCACAAATCCCAATACTACCATTGACACCATTGCTCGCTATTGCTCCTCGATCGACATAATTTATCATGTTAATTGTACAGAGCATTACGAGCAACCTGTAAAGAAAATATTCAATCACATTTAACGAGCAACATGTTGTTACATTTAAATTCAGCATGAAATTTCAAAACTTTACTAGCTGAATTGCATTTTTTAGGCCCAAGTGCCTACCCAGATCAACAAAATGAAGAAAACCCAAGAAATTTGAATTGAAATTGCCTTTTGAGGGAAATTGAG